GGGGGTTTACCCCGTAAACTCTTGCTATCTTAAAGATGGGTGTTTTTGCTTTGAAGTACTGTATATAAACTGTATCAATGTCATTTTTAATAGGAAAATTACCTTATAGATTGTAACCATCTTATAGATGTTTGCGAATCAAAGATACTGTTTCAGTGATTTTCTTTGGGGGAAAATTCACCCCGTAAAGTCTTGCTATCATCAAGATGGTTGCCTTTGCTTTCAACACTGTATATAAACTGAATCAATGTCATTTTTGAGAGGAAATTTACCCTGTAGAGTTCTGCGGTTTTCAAAGTGTACTGTTCGCTTTTGATAAGAGTAATGAATACTGTATCAGTGATACCTTCTTTTGGGGGGAAATTTACCCCGTAAAGTCTTACTTTCTAAAAGATTGGTGCTTTTGCTTTGAATTAATATATGGAAACTGTATCGATGTTATTTTTGAGAGGCAGTTTACCCCGAAGATTTTTGCTATCTTTAAGATGTTGTGAATCATAAAAACTATGTCAGTTTTTTTTCTTTTGGGGGAAATTTACCCCGTAAAGTCTTGCTATCTAAACGATGAGTGTTTTTGCTTTTAATACTTTATATAAACTGTATCAATATCATCTCTGAGAGGAAATTTATCCTGTAGAGTTCAACGATTTTTCAAAGTGTAATGTTCGTTTTTTCTACGTATAAGACAAACTGTATCAATAATTATTTTAAGAGGAAATTTACCCTGTAGATTTTTGTTACCGCCAAGATAATGTGAAGCATAAATTCCGTATGAGTGATATTCTTTGGGGGGAAATTTACCCCGTAAAGTTTTGCTATCTAAAATATGGTTGTTTTTGCTTTGAAATACCGTGTATAAACTGCATCAATGTCATTTTTGAGAGAAAAATTACCCCGTAGATTGTTGCCATCTTCACGATGTTATCGAATCATAAATACTGTATTAGTGACTTTATTTGGGGGGAAATTTACCCCGTAAAGTCTTGTTATCATCAAGATGGTTGCTTTTGCTTTCAAATACTGTATATAACCTAAATCAGTCATTTTTGAGAGGAAATTTACCCTGTAGAGTTCTGTAATTTTCAAATTGTAATGTTCGCTTTTATAAGAGAAATGAATACTGTATCAGCTAATGATATTCTTTGGAGGGGAAATTTACCCCGTAAAATCTTGCTTTCTACAAGATTTGTGTTTTGCTTTGAAATACTGCACTAGTGTATAAAATGTATCAATATCATTTTTGAGATAAAAATTACTATGTAGATTGTTGCCATCTTCACGATGTTTGCAAATCATAAATACTGTATTAGTGATTTTCTTTGGGGGGGGGGGAAATTTACCCCGTTAATCTTGCTATCATCAAGATGGTTGCTTTTGCTTTCAAACACTGTACATAAACTGAATCAATGTCATATTTTTGAGAGGAAATTTACCCTGTATAGTTCTGCGATTTTCAAAGTGTAATGTTCGCTTTTTATAAGAGTAGGGAATACTGTATCAATGATATTCTTTGGAGGGGAAATTTACCCCGTAAAGTCTTGCTATCTAAAAGATGGTTGCTTTTGTTTTGAATTACTGTAGGTACACTGTTTCAATGTCATTTTTGAGAGGAAATTTACCCTGTAGTTTTTTGCTATCTTTAAGATGTGAATCAGTGATTTTCTTTCGGGGGAAATTTACCTCGTAAAGTCTTGCTAAATTCTCAATAGTTCCTCCAAATATTTACATTTTAGTTTATTTGTGACACTAGATCGTGTTTCTACTAGAAAAACACTGATTTTTCACAATCTTATGAATAAATATCTTATAAAACTGTGGGGTTTTTTTGTTAGATTTTGTCAATACCTGAGGGCAAAATGTCTAAAACAGAAAAAAAAGATTTTCTGTTTTGATTTTGGAATGCGTTTATAGATCTTTAATTTGAGAAAATATTTCACTATAGAAATTAACGGAAAATGGAAATTTATTTTCAAAACATCTTCCCCCGCGAAACAAAAGACCCTTTTTTCAGTTTTTATTCATTCCAAAGGTTTTGTTGTCTCACGGGGGGGGGGGGGGGGGGTGGCACCTGTTTTTGAAGATTAAAAACAGGAAAATAGTCATTTTATTACCAATTTCTAATGAGATAACAAATAAAAAATGTTCTTTATCACTTTATCAATCTCATATGTTAAATTTTACATAAGTTAAAACATACGGTGAGATTTAAGAGTCATTTATCCATTTTCGTTTTCATGAGTATTTGAAAATGGTGATGTTTTCAGCCTGATTTCAATTGAAAAAATTTTCTACCCCCTTATGAAAGGAGTTGTAAATAAGAGCAATAAATTTTTTGTCACTGGTTTTTAAAATTAGTACTTAATTTTTTCTTTGTTCTTTTCTTTGCATTCAAACAAGCTTTTATGTCCAAATTGTCATTTATATTGAATTAAATGGATGGAAAATGTAGGCGGGAATAGAGAGTTAGTGTGTGTAGTTCTTACAATAATAACAGAATTTGGTGGATTTAGGAATTTTTAAACTGTAAAGGCGAGGAATGATTAAATCGGAAGAAGAGGTGTTTCCTCTTAAAAACAAAACATTTAATTTCTGCATTTCGTCGCAGGCAAATAATTTGGTAGCTTTTCTTGACGCGGGTAAAGGGGGGGGGGGCATTATGACAAAAGAACAAAATCTTAAAAGGGTCTTGAGTAACATTTGTTGGTATATGTATTTATACTAGAAATATTACTGAAAGTTATAATAACAAATAATTTTTGCCTAGTTTAAAATATCGATTTTGACCGAGGTGGAACCCCCCCCCCCTTTTGGAGAAAATTCCTGGATCTGCACCTGAATGAAACGTACAACGATTAACAAATCAATAATACACAATATTTAACCTACTTAATCCTACTTTAAATGATTATTTGCACAGATATGAATATAAACAATAAAATGTCTTTATTTGGTTACCGGAATTATTAACGTTGCAGCTATTGCAGAAGAAAAACATAACCCGCGTAAGAGTGTAATGCATTTTTTTCTGCAACAGCTGCAACATTAAATCCCGTACTAACAACCAAAGAAAGCATTTTATTGTTCAAGTATATTACAGTTATGATATTGCTACCTATTTTGATACACTTAGACAAGTATCCAACAGTTCAATGCATGAGTGCACAGCTATCCACTATGGTTAACGAATGTAAATTATAGTTTACAAATGAGAATCTATATTTATCAGTAAAATCTATGTTAACGTTAATGTTAACGTTTATTTACAAAACAGATAAACTTAGATTAGCACACTTTTCAACCGTTAAATATAGTTTACAGATGAAAACTATGGTAAACAAATCGTTAACTGTAGTTTACAGTTCGTAAGGGAATCAGGACTGTCACAACAAGTCGCCCCCAACACTATTAAAGACAGCTCGCCCCCAATTTAGGACAACTCGCCCCCACTCAAGACTGCTCGCCCCCATTATAGAGACAACTCGCCCCCATTATTTCTTCTTATGAATTGCAAGGGAAAAAAATAACTGTTATTCAATTCTGTATATTTATATGCAAATTTAAATTATAATCAATATTCACGATTGTAATAGCTAGGATATTTATTTTTTTTATGCATTTACATCATAATTTTGTATTAAAAAAACAATGTATGCATAAAAGATTTATCAATATATCCATGCTTACTTAAATTTTATTCTTATGAAATAGAGTGAATAAATGCATTTTGATTTATCAATTTTTAAATTTATATTTATAAAATAGCACATTGTCCTCAGTGTTAAAACATCTTAATTATTTAATGACGAAAATAACGTTTAACTGACCGCTTTGAGAAACTTATGATAATTTTTAATAATTATTACTAATTAGATGCAAACATCAGACAAAAATTTTAACGACACCCCCAAGCTAACAATTAATTCGGATACTTCAAAGTGACGACTAGAACATGCAAGCTCCGAAAATTACGTATATTTATTTGTTTTTAAAAAATTGGCGTGCCGTATCAAAACTCAGAAGCAGCTTCAACGTGATGAAAAATTAAAGCATGCAAGCTCTGAAAATTACATATATTTAGTTTTATTTGTGATGAAAATGTAAACAAATGTGTGAATTTAGTGAAAATATATCAAAAAAGTGCCAGAACCGAAAATAGATATTAGTGTAAAATTATTTGTGTTGTGTTTTATTTTCAATAAAATTGAGAAATTTTATTTTCAGTTGTTTGTTTTAACTTTCTAGGAACATTTTTAAATTCAAATATCTATATAATATATTTAATATTTGTTGGGTTCTTAAACTGGGGGCGAGTTGTCTTAAATGGGGGCGAGCTGTCCTGAATTGGGGCGAGTTGTCCTAAATCGGGGGCAAGTTGTCTTGGGGGCGACCTGTCTTGGGGGCGAGTTGTCCAGCATTCTTCGTAAGCTATAGTTTACAATCTACAAACCTAGTTTATCAACTGTTAAATTTTTGTGAATTTGGCGTGCCATAGCTATGCACTGATGCAAGAGAGATAACTCTAATTGTGAGAACGACAGCAAACGCGGAACTGTGCTACTCGCCAGACATGGTCTAACAGAATTAAAAAAGAATAAACAGAAGAAGACTGATGAATGTCATTCCATCATTGTAAGGCAAGTTTCCTACCTCGGTAGAAAATGCTGAAAATTCATTATCATAAAATAGAAAACTTTTGTGGCAAATTTTACTTTCAGTTTGTGTATTTATAATTTATCACAAGGTCATATTAAGTTCGTTAAACTATGGATATATGCAAAAACCTTTCCAAATTATTAGATCTAAATGTGATGTATTAAAAACAAATGATTTTTAAGTAACATGTACATATTAAAAAAGAAATATAATGACTTTTTGAACAAGGAAGCAATATATTTTGTTAGTATTCATTCACTATTCAAAGAAAAAGTATTTATTATCTAGGCTAATTCACTACATGGACGTTTGATTTCAATGTCAAAACAATGCTTTTTATTTATAGAGGTTCTAAGTAAAAATGGACCCCCGCCACAGTGCCCAGGATGTGATCAGATGTGACCTATGTGAGACAGCTGTAGTACAGATGTACTGTGATTTCTGTCATGTCAACCTTTGTAAACCCTGTATTGGAGAACACATTTCTGATGAATATGACAAACATAAAATTGTCCCATTCCAACAAAGAAAATTAACCTTGATCTATCCAAAGTGTGCAACACATCCAACCAAAACCTGTGAATTACAATGCAAGGAATGTGATATTCCTGTTTGCTCTTCATGTTTTACATCAAATCAGCATCAAGGACACAGTTTTTCAGACCTTTCAGAAATTTACAACTCAAAGAAAAATGACATTGCGAAAGATACAGAGGAATTACAAAACATTATCTGTCCATCATATGAAGAAATCACCAAAGACATAGAAACACAGATAACTAACCTGGATGGAGAATACGAAAAACTGACAACAGCAGTGACAGAACATGGAGAACAATGGCACAGAGAAATTGAAAATGTAATCAATGCCATGAAAAAAGAAATTGATGATTTTAAAGTAAAACACCTTGACATTCTGAAGAAACATGCAGAGGAAGTTAAACAAATACAATCCCTTATTGAACAAACTCTGTCCAACCTGAAAGAAATTGAAAAATCAAATGAAGTGTCCATGATCATGGAATACAGCTCAAGGAACAAAGAATTCAGCAAACTCCCTCCCAAAGTTCAGGTATCACTGCCCATGTTTAGTCCAAAACCAGTAGATAGAGAACAGATTAACAAGTTGTTTGGATCTTTTGCACCATTATCTACCACAACAGAAGAAAATGGCTACAAAATGAAGAAACCAGAGACATCAACCAGAGAATTTCTGGAAGAACCAAAACTTATCACTTCTATAAACACTGGGTATGAAACACTCCGCAGTGTTACCTGTCTCAGTGAAGAAGAAATCTGGACAAGTGAGTTCTGGGTCAGTGATATAAAATGCTTCAACATTAAAGGCTCACTTATCAAGACAATCAAAACAAGATCAGGGGGAGTATCAAATGATATAGCAGTGACAAAGGATGGAGATCTGTTGTACTCTGACTGGAAAACAAAGACTGTGAATAAAGTAAAGAATGGACAGACGGAGGAGGTGATCAGACTACAGGACTGGAGACCTACAAAACTCTGTGTGACCTCCTCTGGTGATCTCGTGGTTGTTATGTACAGTGATGATAAAACACAATCCAAAGTTGTCCGTTACTCAGGCTCCACAGAGAAACAAACAATCCAGTTTGATGATGAAGGTAAACCTCTGTATTCAGGAAATAGCTTCATTAAGTACATCAGTGAGAACAGAAACCTGGATATCTGTGTGGCTGACTTTAAAGCTCGTGCTGTAGTTGTGGTCAACCAGACTGGAAAACTCCGATTTAGATACACTGGTTATCCTTCTACTACAAAGGAAAACTCTTTTAAACCCTTTGGCATCACAACAGACAGTCAGAGTCAGATTCTGACAGCAGACCGTGATAACCACTGTATCCACATCCTAGACCAGGATGGACAGTTCCTCCGTTATATAGATAACTGTGATCTGGAGGATCCATATGGTTTATGTGTGAACAAAAATAATTTGTTTGTTGCTGAGTGGGGAGGAAAGCTTAAGAAAATTAAATACCTTGTCGAATAGATATAATGTTTGTACATATGTTTGTGTAATGTGTAGATAGAAACTACATTTTAACTCACCTGAGCTGTACATTATACTGATGTACATTTCTATGTTTGATGAAAATGTTACCATGTACATTTAACTCTGTATTACTGTCTTTCAAATTAATTATACTCTTCCTTCAGATTTTGGCCTGATTTATCGTTCAAGGTCCATGACTTGTTACCCATTTTCGATTGAGTCTCTTTTGTAAAAAAAAAAAAAAATGAAATGTTTCATTTTGTTTGGTAAAATTATATGAATTTGTTCATATTTCTATTCTTTCAAGTGAAGTAGAAAACATCAGTATCATGACATAATATTCTCTGAGCAATTTATAATTTCAATGAAATGTTGTTACAGGCTTATAAAGGGACAGAACAATGAGCTAATGATTTTATTGTCTGAGAATTAACTTCTATTAGTTCAAAGTGAAGGACATGTTAAATAAATAGATATTGTAGATAATGCTTTTGGTTTATATGTTTGTATCAACTTTTGCCATATTTTTAGTTCACCTGAGGTGAAAGCATATGGAAGCATCCTCAGGTAATGTAAATTCAAGTTTGTTCAAATCTTGACCCCTGGGGTTGGTGGAGGCCACAATGGATACAAATATTTATCTTAAAAAAGTTAACTAAAAGATAATGATTGAGTCGTTTCAAAGCAAATAATTTTCTTTTTTAAATGATTCTTTGAATCGATTGGCTTGCAAATACATGTATATACATGTATGGCACTTTACATACTTGAGGAAAAATTACCCTTGATGCAGGGCCTAATGTTTACAGAAGAATGAGGGGATTCACCAATGTCACCAGTAATGCTGTATTCAGGTGTGTAGTATCAGTCACGTTGGCAAGCCGTATCTGACATGTATTTCGGTGTTCAGCCTCTGACAGCAGAAGACACACCAAGTTGTCCTCATACAGGGTCAAAAATAGGCTAAGTGCATGTAGATATACTTATAGAAATTTAAAAGTTTTTGTTCACATGCAGACAAAATATAAAAATACTTTTTTTTAAATAGTTTTAATCAGTTTTATTAATATTTATTGATTTTTTTTATTTGTTGTACTATGCAAGAGTACTGAAAATTGACTGAATCTGAATTGTTCTAAAGTGTTTATTTTACTTACTTTGATATATGGTTACCATGGAAATGATTTGGATAATAATTGTAAAATTTTACCACAAATGATAAAATTGTTAAAGAAGTTTATTAACGCAAAAATCCTGAAATTTTTAAATTTTATAGTTTCCATCAATTACACTGAGAAAGCTTGATGATTTGTGACATTTTCTCTTGAATACACATCTACTTCAATCATGTTTTATTTATATACATATAATTTAATATTGTTATACAACATTGTAAAGAACAACAACTTGTTATGCATGTACTTTACATTACACAATTTTATCTCACCATTAATTAGTGCCTTTGTATATAGTTGTATCTACTTCATGCCTCTCTAAGGGATAATAATGGCAAAAACCAATTTCATCAACAGATTCTGAATAAAGAAAAGGTTATTTAGTTGAATAATAGTAAAAAGGGAGCCATTGTGAAAATGATGATTATTAAACTTCAGCTTTATTAAGTACCCTTTCTTCAAGGTCAAAAACGTATCTGAATATTTAGATACTTAATCATGTCCCATGGCCACAATCTTTAGGGGAATGTTAGTTTTTCTACATACACTTAGCCTATTTTTGACCCTGTTTCGGTGACTGAATTCTCAAATCTACAACAGGAAAATAAATATCTGATGCTATTCTCAACAAACTACTTAAGAGAATGTGTGTCTCCCACTAAGGGAAAAAAGAAAAGCATGCGCAGTTTCAAGGGGGGGGGGGGGGTTGGACCCCCCCCCCCAACCCCCTATGGATTTGTAGAATTATTAAATGTATACATGTATATTGAAGCAAATAAAAAATGTCAATATGGATATAAAGATTTGGCCTTGTGGCAAGTTTGGTTGAAATTGGCCAAGTGGTTCTTGAGAAGAAGTCGAAAATGTGAAAAGTTTACAGACAGACGGACAAAATGTGATCAGAAAAGCTCACTTGAGCCTTCGGCTCAGGTGAGATAGAAACGATATTTGAATCATTTAAGAGAAACCAATAATATCAATACCAAAAAATATTCTCAATACTAGGGTAATGTCTCCCTGGTCATAAGCCTATCTTACGAAAAAAAAAATGAGAAAAAAAAAACTTCAAGCGATTTCTGCAGTTTTTTTCATTTGATAGCGAAAGTAAAAGTCTAAAATGCAAGTTTTCAATGATAATGATTATCTAATGGTTTCTATAATTTAAAATGTTTCCCTTCAATTTGGTATATCTAGTCCGGATGATTGTTTGATTAAAAAAATTTGGCTTAGTTCTTTGAAATGCTCTTTTGTCTCGACTAGATGGGCGGAGTTTATAGAAAGGGTGAGTTATGAACAGATAACCAACACTTTTAACAAAAGAAATCACACCTAAGTTTGGTACAATTTGCAAATACAACATATCGTTAGATTGTACATGTCTCCAGTACGACGAAAGGTTTCAACGTTGGAGAAAGAAAGATCGATCTACATGTCCTTGGCAACACAGAAATGCAAGCTTTTCCAGGATGCTCTTGTCTTGGGACTAGATTAAAAATTAAAATCCAAAAAGCAACCCATTCTTGCTCCATAAACATAGATACTGTTATGCATACAACAACCATGGCACATGTCCAAAAGGTAATGCATGCACCAACCCCAACGTTTGTCAAATCTGTGCAGGTAAACATTGTCGAAAACTCAGCCCAAAATTCAAACAAAACAAATCAAAACAAATCACCAGGAATAACAGTGCAAGTACCTTCAAGCCCCCCACCTCAATTAAAAAAGTAAAATGACAACTTCTTTAAAACACGCAATCTTAGCTGACTACTTAGAAGGGTATGACCGCACAGTGTCAAACTTTTTCATTGAAAGTTTTAAATTTGGATTTAGAATCCAATATCAAGGGCCTAGACAATTTCGCTTCTCTCCAAATGTGCCTTCCATTACAGGGAAATAATCTAACCTGAAACAGATAATTCAACAAGAATTGCAGAGTACTCGCTTAATGAGTCCATTTATTGAACCTCCTTTCCCTAACATGCAAGTCTCTTCACTAGGCTGAGTTCGTCAAACATCGCCAGGGGAATAGTGATTGATACACCACTCGTGCTTTCCAGATGTAGAGTCCATTAACCACTATATTCCACAAGAATTCTGTACTGTGCAATACCAGTTCAGTCCAACAGCTACAGAAGTCATAAAACAATAAGGAAGACATATTGTTTAACCAAAACTGATATTGAAAATACATGTAAACAATTCTTATACATTCTTATGATTTTGTACTTTTGGGTTTTATGGTAAACAGTCACTGTTATTATGATAAGACACGTTATGGGCTTAGCTATGCATGTAATTTGTTTGAAAATTTTAGTACCGCACTTTAATGGATTTTGAATTTTAAGTTTTCAGTTTCCCACTGTGTCCATATATATATATTAGGTGACTTCCTCTTCCTAGGACCACCACAATCGCCCAAGTTCTACAGCGCACTCCTGGTTTTTGCAAAAGATGTAGGGCATCCAATTAAAACTTTAAAAAACCCATTTCACCCAACTACATATGTACCAAATTAAATTGTTGGTCTCTAGCTTGTAGTTCAAATCATTAACAAAAATACATCAAAGGACCCCAAACCTATTCAACTAATGAGACGTCTAATGATTTTGGCCCATACACAAAATAAACATTTCCATGCCAGCACATTTGAGGGGTAGCCAATATGACTACAAATTTGCTATCTCGTTTACAGGTCTCAGTATTTAGAAATAGGTTTCCCCATATGGTCAGAGAACAAACACCAGTTGATCTTTCTTTAGCAATTTGAGTTAAACTACTGACCTATTACTTCGCAGCTCGCTCAGAAATTCACAACCCCAGCTTACAAGTCAGTTTTCCAAACATGTAAACACTTTGTAGAACTTTTCCTAAGGAATGCCCTTTTCGAGACCCCTACAGCATTCTCTCGGCTTTTATTGTCTATTGCTATCTTTAGGGATCAGCTGCCTCTACAGTACACAACCTAGTATCTGCTCTAAGTTTCAGATTTCAGCTAAGGGATTTTGCAGATATTTCATTGTTTAAAAAATGTTACAAAGGTTCCAGAAAGTTAAACCATCACCAGATACTAGGCTCCCAATAACTCTCAATATTTTAAAATCTCTTCTCCTGGCTTTGGAATACACAGCATCCTCATTCTTCATAAAATTGCTGTTAAGAGCTATGTTCCTGATGATTTCTGTGCATTCTTACGTATAGGGGCAATTATATTAGAACCTCTGGTGAAACACAACCCTAGTTTTATTTTAAAAAGCAGCACTAAAGTCAGACACGCAACATGAGCAACATTCCTGCAAAGTCTTCTACCTCTACAATACGACTTCGTCGAAATAAAACAAATTCCAACCTTTCTCCACACCAGTCTCTTATACAAAATAAAATTTAACAAATGTTTAATTTTATAGTCATACTGGTAATTACTATCAATGATTGCTTCTTTAAACATGTAAGATAATAATAAAACTGAAATAATCTTATGAAACTTACCCTGAACGAAAGTTAATTTCTTCAATGTGTAAATGCAAAAGATGACTGCACTTATTAAGGACATATTAAAATGGCGATAGCATTTTTCTTTTAAATGCAGGAAATATCTAACCTGTTTACTTAATTAAATTAATTAAAAGTTTGTACTAACAAAATGCGACGCTGTTCCCATCGTTTATTGGCCATAATCGGGATGAACTATAAATACAGCATGTGTGTCACACTCAAGAGAAACATGTACAAATTTTATGCCTTATAGCAATACGTTCCCATACATGTATAATAATAATGTTTATGAAAAGGCACAAATCCTATCGTTCTCATGATTTATTAAACATTTGTCTATATATATATATATATATATATATATATATATATATATATATATATATATATATATATATATATATATATATATATATATATATATATATATATATATATCGTACATGTACATATTCCTGGGAAATTTTTGCTCCACTTCCTAGTCTCTGTTTTAATCACAGTGCCCAGTATGAGAAAGCGTAGCATGACTCCATATTCATTCATTCTGATGAATAGATTTATATCTATCACGTTAATGGTAAGGAAATAAAAGTACTGTTGTACATTATTTTTATACCATTAGGTTCAGGTGTGACCACAAAATTCCATGACAAATGTATTATCAATTTTACAAAATGCCTGACCTCATTGCGTGGAAAGGAGTCAACATCTAAAAAAACCTAGAAAATTATGTAAGTAATTTTTACCAAATATTTTCAGAGGTGATACTCAATTTACTGTCTG